GAATAAACTAATTTGGGTTTTTCCAGATCACATAGATTTTTTCTATACAATTTGAATAATTAATATAGTTGAGTTTGTTGTTTATTGGTTTTTTTTTTGAATTTTTTTGATTTAGATTTTTTTGAAGAAAGTTTGGTGTTCTCTTGTTTTTTGTTTGATAGCAAAATTGCCTAATTTATTGGATAGAATCTGGCCAGCAAAAATCCTTCTGGTGTCTAGGGAGATACAGAATCTTGTATATGACTGGTTAGAAGTTAGGAGAGTTGATACGACCTTTTCTTTAAGCTTATTGTAAATTGTATATCTTTTCTTTTCTTTTTCTTATAATAAAATTTTGTCCTGTTTAAAAAAACAAGCAAGCAAGAAAGTGTTAGTTACAAAAGCAATTTAACAGATGCAATACATTTGCTAATAATTGATTTGTGTTTGTATCTGTTGGATCTTTTGGATTTCTTTAGTGTAAAGATAATATTTATTTATGTGTATTCTTAAAATTACCAAAAAAAGAAAATTTTAAGAATTTAGATTTTTGCAGAAAGAGTTTTTTTTTTTTGGTAATTGATGAGAAATTGTTGTATATTTTGAAAAATATAATATCTGTATATATTATTTTATTAATAATTAATAATTATATGTATTAATTTATTAACTATTTATTTTTTATTCAAATTATTATAAGAATTTTTTAAATGAATTCTAAATTCAATTCTTGATAAAATATGCTTTATTTGTTAGGTGCCAAAATCTTGACAATTCAAAGTCAAATATATTGATTCAAGATTTTTTGTAAATTATATTTTCTCAATTAGATTAAGATATATTAAAAAAGATAACAAGAAATTGCAAATTAATTTTTTTAAATAGTAACATATTTTGTGAGATAAAATAGTTATCTATTATAAAAAAATTATAGATAGAATAAATTTATAAGTTTTGGTTATTGTTTTTTTTTTATCTTTAATTTTTTCAAAAATTTATATTTTTTTAGAAATAACATCAAAGATATAATAAATATTTTATTAAAAGATAATATTAACAAGATTTGAAAACAATTTACTTTTAAAATAAATATCACAAAAATATAAAGAAAAACCAAAGACTTTAATAAGACTCTTTGTAATGTTATCTATGCTAATTTATGTATACATCTAATTTAAAGAAAAAATAAAAATGTATAACTATTATTTTATAATTTAAATAATGATTTATATATTATTAATCTTAATATTGTCATCAACAAAAAGTAGAATATTACAAAAAAAACTCTTTCCTGTTTCTCTCAAATTTTTGAAAAACTTTTCTTTTTAGGAAACTTTAACGAGACATGTCTGGGGTCTTGTCAAGTTATCTTTTCCTCTAAAAAGAAACTTTTTCCCTTCCTTTACCACTATTGAGAATAAAAATTCTCTTCTAAAGAAGCTGACTGGTTGTCCCCTTTCGTGATAGCCTAAGAGGTTTAGGCTGAGTAGAACCGGGTGTTACGGGCGGAAGGTCAAATCCCGGATTTATTGGACAAAAGACTAGCTCTGCTTCTTCAAGACAAAGAGTTACCTCTGCCAATACTGATACAACAAGCCTTACATATTCTAAAGATCTGTTACATATGAGCCAATTTTAAAAGTTTGGTTATAAAGACTCAAGCTGCATAAGAATGTGACTCTTGGTCGAATTCCTCAAGACTGGGCATCTTGTGGATGAAGGTTGCATAGAGAAAGGCCTTTGGTTTGATATCTTTTTTGCTCATATATACAAAAGTATCTTGATTTCTTTTTTTTTATAACAAAAAACTGAAATCAGTTTACCCTCATCAAAAGATCAATATTATATTCCAACCAATCACAACTCACCAAAATTGCACCATCGATTACTATAATGACAATAACAACAACAACAATACCACTACCAATAGCCTATCACGTATTAATATCAAATAGATAATCTTGAAGAGAACAATAATGTGGACACTAACGTATGTGTGTTAAATATGGCAGTGCTGACGGCTTACCGAGTATGTAGGAGTTGCGTCCTGCTTGACAGTTTTTGCCCCTAAATTTGGCAGCTTAAGCCAACCGAATTCTTTGGAGTGTCTACTAGGAGATATTGGAGTTGCATTTCATTTGACCTTTAAAGCCCCTAGATTTGGTAGTCTGTGTCAATCAAAGATTACAGTTTCAGAGCATTTACTAGGAAGTACATATCCATGTCAGCCCCCTCTGTTCCCATAGCTGCGTAAGCCGAAGTTGTGATGTGAAAAGTTGTTTACTTAATATTAATACATGTTTAATTTCTTTTTTTTTCTTATTTTTTTTTCTATCTTTCACTAAAATTGCATGGTCTGTCGTGCAACTATCTAGACAATATATTAGTTTTAAATTTTTTTTCTAATATAGTTTAGATAGATATTTTGGTAAACTAGTATTTAACTCATGTATTATGAGAGATGTAGGTTCTTTTTCAAAGCTATATCCTAGTATATACATATAATAAAGAACTGATATTTATCAAAAAAAAAAAAGTAGAATATTACAATGTCATTAAATTTAGATTTTTATAAGTTTAATGCATCAAGAGATAGCTTTTTATTAGGAGTAAATTAGAAATACAGTATTTTAAATTTTTTATATAAAATTTTGATTAATAAATTTTTGATTTTTGATAAATAAAAGTTTACTTTTCAATAAATAAATATTAATTATTTTCAAAAAAAAAATCAATATTAAATATAAAAATCTTTATTTAATTTTTAATATAGAAGCAATATTTTTTTTACTTTCCAAAGATATAGCATATTTTTTATAGTATTATTTAAAGTCTTAACTTACTCTATATTTTTTTTTTCAATGAATCTTAAATGTTTTATGAATTAATAATATCAATTTTTCAAAAAATCCATATCTTTTAAGTTTAGTTTTATTAGTTGCTAATATATTTTATCTTAAAATATATAATATAATATTTTTATTAATAAAATTTTTTATATTTTAATTTGTTATTAATTTTGTTTCTTCTCTAAAAAACAATAATAAAAACAAATAAATTTTAATTTTTTAAAAAATATTAATATTAATTATTATATTTTTGTTACAATTTCTTAAAAGATTTAACAAGATTTACTATAGAACTATTAAATTTATGGAATGTATATATAATTGCCTTTTATTAATAAAAAAAAGAACAAATCACAAAACATGATACTTAATTACAATAGTGAAAACCATACAATATCTTACTAGTTAGGTACAATTATTTTATCAAATCAAGACTTAATCAATCTTGCTGCTTGCAACTTTAAATTTTCATTAAATCAAATTCAAAATAAATGAGAAAAATCTTTAATTATATACTCAAAGCTCTTTACAAAGCATAAAAGTAATGATTAGTAACAGTAACTGCTTTACTATTATTCAAAATAAAGTGGAAAAAAATTTCAAGTGTAAAAAGTACTACTTCAATTTATAATGATAATTTCATATTTATAAAAGTTTTAGATATTTTATAAAATGCAAATAATTATACTAACAAATAAATATTTACTTTAGCTATAGTTTTATTGTTCTAAACAAGTATTAACTATTCAACACTATCTATATAAGTTCAAATATTTGGTAAAAACTTATATAGTTAGTTATATTGTAATATGTTATAATTAACTTGTATATTATCTTACAAAAATTGTTTATATAATAATAGTAAATATAAAGTTTAAATAGAGTCTTATATTTAATGTCTGTTTGTGATTAAAAAATCAAAATCTTAAAAATATTGCAACTTCAATTATATTTTAATTGAATAAAAATATTATATGCCTTTATTATATAATTTTTTTTGATTTTTTTATAATAGAATAAATTTATTTTATTTTTTTATTTAATTTTCCAAAAATTTATACAAAATTATTTATTTTTATTATTTTTAGTATAATAATAATTGTAAATATTTAAAAGCTAAAAATTAAACTAATAATTTCTATTTTTATATTTTATTAATTTTATTTTTAATAAAATTTTATTTAGGATTTTTAATAGTATATATTGAAAAAAAATTTAAATAATATTAATTATTATATATAAGCTGTATGTTTACTTACTTAAAAAAATTCAAGATATAAAAGAAAATTGAAAAGCAAAAAAAGAAAATTAATTAGAATTAAAACCAAATCAAGTAAACTATAAATTTTATTAAAAAGCTATATTTTCAAGAATGCTCATGGATTAGTTTATTATTATATTTTTTTAACATCTTTTAAAATATTAAATACAAAAAAAATAGAATTTTTCATACACAGTATATAAAACATAACAATAATAATAATAATAGTAACAAATACTTATATTTGATTATTTGATTATTGAATAAAAATATTGACATAAAAAAAATTCAAATATAACACTTGTACAAAACTAATTATAAATAATATTCTATATTGATTAATTATCAAGTTTTAAATACAAGTTTATATAAATGGAATTATTGGTTAAAATGTAGTATAGGTAATGCATATTATATTCCTATTATTTTTTTGGTTAAAATAATGCAGTGTAATTCAATTATAATCCATAGATTTTTTTTATTTTAGATTATTATTTAATGTATTTTTAATAGTATCAAAAGTTTTTTGATATAAATGAATATTATAAAATAACTATTTAATATTTTTAATTTTAAATATTCGTTATATTTCTACTGTATATAGTAATTATATTATACACTTATATCAAAAAACTCCAAGGATTCATAGAATAGATGTTTACGAAACCCCAAACTTCTTCCTTCAGCATAAAGTGTAGTTGTCCGAAAATTCACATTTAACGAATTATCTCAACCAGACACTGGCAATTCTGCATTTCACGATTTGCAATCAGATTTGCACAGAGGGCATAGCGAGGAGATATTTAATAGCCACGGATCAATGCACACACTTTAAAAGAAAAAAAAAGCATCAAGCTTATGGTTATTATTATTCTGAGAAGCACATGTTTTAGGAAGTTTACAGTATACCCTTACCTATGATATTGGTGATTGCACGGTAGAATTCTTAGTTCTTCTCCAGGTACAAAATCATTCAAGCAAATGGGGCATGTTGATTGTTTGTGGATTTCTAAAATTTCATCATCTATCATAATACTATTGTCTCTAACAAGTTCCCTTCCTACATTATGAGATTGATCAGACTCTTTCATTAGTTCTTTACATTTTCCTTTCTCTAAATCGTTGCTGGTGTCATCTTCAATCCGCGGATACAAGTAAACAGGAAAGCTATTCAACACAGTGTTGGTAATACCATTATCTTTATTCCTTTCACTCCGATTATTTCTAACATTGGAGGATTCGTTGTCTGCCAATATTGATAAACAAAATGCAGATTTTAGGACACATACAACTATTTGTCCAAATATAACTGCGATAATTATAAATATTATGATTATAATTTTATTTTTTTCTTTGTTGTCCTTGTCATCGGATCTCTTATCAATAAATGCGTTAGGTGACCGATCCAATTGAGTATTGAAAATAAAGTTTTTGCATTCCGCATCAGTCTCAAAGAATATTGGTATAGATATATTTTTTGGCAAATGGACATCACATGGTTTTTCATAGACAGGGAATAAGACTACTGCCATCGCTTTGTTACTTTGTGCCGAAAATATATCGCGTATTATATCTTTTGAATTGTTACAATTAATGTAGCCTATCCATGAGATATTGGTATTCAAGTAATCAGACGGCCGAATATACAATAAACCCTAGAATAGGATAACAGTTTTCTTAACGCAAAGTCTATCAATTTTGCTAATTTTGCTTTCATACCTCAACGCGATCGATAAAATAATTCGTCAAATTTGATAGCTCACACGTGACCGAAAAAGGATTTATAGACATGGAATAGATTTTTTGTGACTCATAGACATGTAGCATCATCAGACACAATATCGTTCTTATCAGCGTATATGACAGTTGCATTTTTGGCGGGAAACTTTAGATACGTTTTCGTTCTTAAACTTACGTGCGTTTATATATACTTTGTCACGCAGAAAGTTTAATGAAAATTCACTTAATATAATATATATATATATTTTATCATCATGGGTACATTTACATTATCAGAGAGATTTTGCTTTACATGAAACGCTAAATGATATCCATTTTGGAAATTTATTACCGTTTTTAGATTAATGCGTTTATATGTCCGGTCGTATAATACAGTATTTGGATACGCATATCCACTTTTATTTCGCCGTAAAATTCATATTAATACAATGTGATAATAAATATATTTCATTTGAAAACACGGACAATTGAAAAATCTAGGGATTTCAAATTTGTAGTGTTAATATTTTACACTTTCCTATTTCATTACATTTTTTTTTTACATACGTACTGCAAAATAAGCTATTGTTGTAGTACAATATAAAAGTTTAATTGACTGTCAATTTTTCGGATCAATATACACAATGAAGGAAGAAAAATAGGAGTTGTTCAAAACGTAACATATTTGCGTGACCGATTGTCGCGAGGTATCGCGAATGATCAACTTTGTTAAATAATGAAAAGGTGGAATGGATAAAATGGGAAAATTATTATTTAACATCTTCAAGGTTTCTATCATTTTCATGATTCTTTTTATTCTTTTTTTCTCTATCATCTTAATAATCCATCTAACGAGAGAATGTATAACAAAAGTCAATAAATAGGAGTAAAACTCTGTCAGTTGACAATCTCGCCCGATACAGGTGCTCGCACGTTTATGACCAGTTATAAGTATCCAAGATATGCCAAATTATAGAGCGACAAAAATTTGCTTTAGGAAGAACAAACAAGTAAGGGTTTCCGATTGAGAAAAAAGATGCTATGAATCATAAAATGAACCCGTGATTCAATCGATAAGTGGTATCATCAGTTGGTCAGTTGGTTATGTCAGGATTACGAGATCATTCTTTTGCCCAAGTTCAAGTCTTTGAGGATGGTTTGAAAAACAATCGAAGATTCAGTTAACGAATGCTCATGCAACGCTAACTTGGTCACATTTCAAGTTTCAAATGTTCTTACACCAAAAGTCGAGAGAGTTCAAAGATTGCAAGGTCATTGAATGCGCCGAATAATATACATCAAAGGCATGTAAGAATTGTGGGTTCGTAAAATAATCTTGGTGGATCAAAAGCGTTTAAATGTGATTCGTGTGAGGAGGAGATGGATCGAGACGCGAATGGTGCCAGGAATACAGTATCTTGTTCAAATATTTAACGGAAGATCCTGACTTTGAAACTTGAACCTATATGGAATGCGATGTACATAGTAAAGATTTCAAGGGTACTGGTGACAAAAAGTACTTGATAAACGTATATACAGGTATAGTATTGGTCAAATAAAAAAATACTTAAGAACGTCGATTGTTTTAATCACGTGAATACATTTTTTATAAAGGAACTTTTTGAATAAGGAACCGGAAATTGAAAGTAAAGGTCAATTAAATAAAACTTGTAAAAGTTATGTCATTATGCATATGAAATAATAAGAATTATCAAATTAGCTTACAGAAGAGGTAATGGGTGTTTTTTTTCACGCCTACTTAATTATGATCGCATATTTATAGTCATACTTACTACGTATAAAAATAATATTTGACGTCTTTTTAACGCGATCGTGCTAACTTTACGTCATTATGTTATGTTTCCTATGACATTTAATTACGTAATCTGTTAAAAAGGGTATTTATTATCATTTCAAAAATTTTCGTTAGCAAAAAAAACTCTTCTTGTAAACACATTTCTTTATTTATTGAATATTCTTGTATGACACAAATATTGTATTTGACTTTTTTTTATCCTCGACAGATAAAAACCTTGATGAAAGTCTTTAGTTAAATATTTTTATCAAAGAAAAAATGTGTACCATAATATACTATAAAAATACTATAAACGCATTATAGTTGGTAAAACAATTTATTAAAGATTTTTATATAAACATTTAATCGATCTTTAATTTATATCATATATTGCATAAAATTAAATTATATTTATTATAAATATCAATTTAAATCATCACAAATGATTACAGTAATGATATAATATACAGTATATACTGTATATTTAAAAAAAAAAATAGTTTCAAATAAATTATTACGTATTTGATTATTATTTTTTAAAAAAATAAAATCAATTGTTAAAAGCATAATAAATAAGTCAATGATGAAAATTATGAATATGGTATATTAAATTTGAAATTATAAGAAAAAATCAGCAGAATTTAAAATTAAATTAAAAAAAAAAGTAATTAATACTTTATACTGTAATTTATTATATTGCATTTATTCATATATTTATTATTATAAAATTAACTAATATTTATAATTTTTTTATAAATAAGTAAAAACAAAAAAATCAAATATAACTAATGCATCCAAATTATTTATCTTGTATTGAAAAAAAAGCAAAAAATATTTTTATTAAAAAAAATAATAATTTAATATATTGAAATTTGATATTATAATTATAGTAAAAAACAGGTAAATAAAAAACATAATCTATTTTAAATTAAATTATATGACCATATCATTACTTATGTTAATATTATATTTCATTAACCTATATTTATACCAAATTTTTATACCAAATTTTTTATTGTTTATATCTATTATTATTAAAAAATGCAATTTAAATTCATAAAATTTTTATACAAAGAAAACTTTATATTTATATTTATATAATTTTTAATAGTACATCAATTTATTTTTATTTTATATAATAATATTAAATTTCACATATTTTAAATCAAATTAATCAATTAAAATTAAATTCTTTCATCATTATAAACTGCATCAAATTATCAAAATTTCATATTTTTATTCTTTATTTTATAATATTTTACAAATTTTTGACAAAATTCTTTAAAATTATTAAAGAATTAAATATATACTCATATAATTTTTAATTAATTAATTTATTCGTTTCTGTTTTATATAATAATAATATGTTTTATATATTTTAAATCAAATTAATCAATTGAAAATGATCAAAATTAAATTCTTTTATTATTAAAAATTATATCAAATTATCCAAATCTCATAGTATTTTATAAATTTATAACAAATTTTTTCTAAATTAATTAGAAAAATAAATTTATATTTATATTATTAATGATTTAATGATTTATTTTTATTTTATATAATAATATTATATTTTACATTAAAATCAAATTAACTTAATAAAATACAATCAAAATTAAATTCTTTTATTATTATAAATTGCATTAAATTATCAAAATTTCATATTTTTATTCTTTATTTTATAATATTTTATAAATTTATAACAAAATTCTTTGAAAATTATTATAAAACTAAATATTTAATTTCAAGTTTTTTTAAATAATTAAACTTATATTGTAAATTATATTAAAATAGAATTTAGAATTTAAGTAATTAAAATAAAAAATTAATAATTAAAAAATTAAAATAAAATAAAAATTTTATTGGAATGATAAAAAATTATTTCAAATTTTTTTGAAATTACTTTGTTAACAAAAAAATTTTTAAATAAAAAATAAAAAAAATATATTGAAAAAAATTTTAAATTTTATAATTTTAATAATTATATTTTTATTAAGAATAAAAATTTTATATAAGATTTTAATTTTGATTTAAAAATAATCTTGTCAAAAATTAAAAAAATTTTTGATAAATAATTCAAAAATATTTTTTTATATTTATAACAAATAATAAAATATTTTGTTTTTAAAATAATAAAACAAATTAATATTATAATATATTTGAAATTTATAAAAATAGATTAAATTCAAAATTAAAAGATATTAATATATATATTTTTTGGAGGGTTTTTCCTATAAGTAAATATTATTTTTTTTTTTTTTTAATCCCGCAATCAGGTTGGTGTCGTTTATTTATTTAATCATAAAGAACCATTACAAGTT